TGATAGTAGAAAAATGTTCTGGAGGTGAAACCAAAAAGCTGGTGCTGGGAGCTCCTGGAGCAGCACGGGTTTGCTCCTACCAGTGCCAACCTACGGGGCACAGCCCTCCACCAGAGCATCCAGAGCTGCTGCCCAGCACAATCCTCCCATGCCAGGGACAGACCTTGCCCCCTTGTAAAGACAGGCTGGGAGAGATGGGATGGTTCAGCCTGGAGAAGAGAAGGCTCCGGAAGGGGACACCTTAGAACAGCTCCAGTGCCTAAAGGGGCTCCAGGAAACCTGGAGAGGGGCTTTGGACAAGGGCCTGTAGGGACAGGACAAGGGGAATGGCTTGAACCTGCCAGAGGGGAGGCTGAGATGAGCTCTGAGGCAGAAGCTCTTCCCTGTGAGGGTGCTGAGGCGCTGGCACAGGGTGCCCAGAGAAGCTGTGGCTGCCCCATCCCTGGCAGTGTTCAAGGCCAGGTTGGACACAGGGGCTTGGAGTAACCTGCTCTAGTGGAAGGTGTCCCTGCCCGGGGCAGGGGTTGGGACTGGGGGAGCTTTAAGGTCCCTCCCATACTAACCAGGCTGGGATTCTATGATTCCGTGATGACTGGCAGCCCAGCAGATGGCAATGTGAAGCTGCTGAATGCTCTGCTGCAGCCATCACTAACAATGTTGCTTCTCATTAAAACAAAAACTCGCATGTAAATTGTCCACTCAACATTGACTTACATCAGTGTCACTCATTTGCTCACCACGAAGTGAGTTTATCTTTTTAATAGCACACTCCTCAGCTACTTCTCTGAGCTCTCAAGCACTCAGAAGCTAAACCACACCCTCCATAGCAAGTCAACAACTTCCTCGTGCAGCAGCAGAAGGAAAGCAGCAGACTGTCCCATCCATATGGACACCCCACACAGGTCTCACAACTCAGCACACCAAAGCAGACCCTTTGGCCAGCAGGATCAGTGAGAGAACACGGCTGGGGCAGCCTCACATGGCTGTTTGTGCCACAACTGCTGCCTGTGTAGGTTATGATGATCACAGAGGGGATGCTGGAAGGGCACAGCTCTAGCCCAGGTAAGAATTTGATCAACATACCAAAAACAACCTTTCTCCTTCCCTTGCCATCAAACATAATGCATCTTATTGCAGGGATAATAAACAAGCAAAATGCAAGATTAATCTGTGCTTAAGCCTGAACAAAGTCATTAAAATCAGTCCTGTTTCAATTTTACATTATTTATGAAGATGCTGAAAACAGTCCAGCTAGTCCCACATGCTGCAGCTAATGTGGGGCGCAAACCACGCCAGCAGGACTATTACCTTCCGTAACAGAGCAACCATCTCTTTTGACCAGGCAGACGAGTACTGAACGCTCACAGTGCTGAAGAGCTGCACTAAAGACTCCACGGGGTTGTTGGAGTGGATGTCGTACGGTCTCTGGGGGGAAAGAAGAAAGATGAGAAGAAATTCCCTCTCCTCTGCAGCCCATCAGCACGTCCTTCAGCAGCCGGGGTGCCTTACCCAGCCCCGCAGCAGCTCATATGCCATGATTCCCAGCGACCACCAGTCGACCTCGAAGGAGTAGCCCGTCCCACCGCTCAGGAAGGAATGGAAGATCTCCGGGGCTGGACAGAAAGGGCAAAATGCAACAGGTTATGTGCTGGCTTCAGTCTGTTCCTGGTTCAGTATTCATGTAAGGCAGTATGGAAACCTTGGGGTCATTTTGATGCACTACTGCCCACAGGGAGGATTTGCAAGCGGGGTGAGAGCCCTCCCAGTCAAGGCATGGCAGGAACCTGCACCCATTGGGATGCACTGAGACCCATCACAGGGTGGGATAGAGAGGGTGTGCTGATGCTGACAGCGATTCATTCACTGCTGGAGCTTCACTTGTCAAGGCTCAGGCTCACTGAGTGACTTGGGTGCATGCATTAACGTGCTGAATTCATTCAGTGCCTTTGTTTCAGACAGGCACTGTCAGGCGGCATGCGGTGAATGCTCTTGAGGTGTAAAATATAGATGGAAGGAACAGCTATTTCTTACCCATGTATGGCTTTGTTCCAGCTAATGCAGTTGCTCTTTCACCATCCCTAATTATTGTTGCAATATTAAAATCTGTTAAATGTGCATGACCTTAAATAGAGACACATTTTAAGAAGGAATTAATCACAGTGGCAATGGAGAGTCAGAATACATTTGTTTCATAAGCTGCTGCCCCTGGACAGTGTGGCACAGGCTCAGGCAGGTCAGGGTAAGACCCTGTTGAACAGCCACAACAGATCCTGAAGCACTCCCAGGGTCTCAGGCTGTAGGTGGTTAATGGTCACTAGCTTTGGTCTGGATTTCAAACCAGCCCACACCAGCTCCAGAACTCGGTCAAACTGCTCTAGCCAGAACCTACAGTCAAACACAAGCACAGGGAACCACTATACTAAGCTATTGCCTTAGTCTCATTGATTAAGACCCTAGCACTGATTCTGATGAAAGCCATTGAACCAGGAGCCCCCCAAAGTCCCAGACTAAAAGCGCTGCCTCTCTGTACAGACCACAGCAGCTCTGGACATGCCAGTTGAATGAAATCATGGCAATGCTTCCCAAACTATAGGGCTGTGTGAAGAAATCACTAAGATATTTTGAGAAGTGCTAGAACACCTCTCTGCTTCTACCTTCTCTGTCACCAGGACTGACAGCTGACATTCAGAATGGGTCATGCTCTTCAGGCCAGCCTGGTATACAGAAATACCCACAACTCACCTTTCTGCTATCTACAAGGCAGCCATGAAAGTGGTGTGTAAATGTGTAAATCACTGAATTTCCCTTACATTTCCCTTTCCCATTTCTGTTTGGGCTTTATGTCCTCCACTATCTTCTAATCAACTTTTGTGCAAGCTTTGGTTTTGATGAGGCTTTATGGTAAAACTCAGCTGGTTTGGAGCCTGCTGTCCTGAGAGGTTGTGTCTTTTAGATCTATCACTGGACCAGAGATCATTACAGGATCTGCTGTGATGTTTCACCTGCACTGGCCACTGGGACTAGCACCAAGAGATGCTCTCATAGATTCCTGCACTGAGTGCAGCTGGCTCAGCCCAGATGCCTCCCCCCAGGAAGACATCAAGACTATCCTAAAAGTGTATGTCCAGATCACACACTCTAAACCCCAACAAAGCCCACCCTCATGCTTTGAGCCCTGCCACGATGCCAGGCGCTGCAGCTCTGGCACAGTGACCTGTGTCTGTGCCATAAGGAGAGAGGAGGCCAAGTGTGGGCAGAGAGAGGTGTGGGTAATGAGGAGAGGGGCTGCTCTTGGTGGATCTCCGCTGGCATTACAATGCACAGCTATGTTCAACCCAACACTGATCAATTAGAAGGAATGGTGCTTTCTCCACACTTTTCCCAGTATTCAAGACTGCAAAGAACCCGTCCCTTGAATGAAGGAGGCAGAAAAGCAATGCTGAGAGATCCTACCTTGCTCATCAAGGAGGATGTTGTCTGGTTTTACGTCCCTGGGAAAAGAAGCAAGGATACAGCAGGGTGAAAACTCAGATCAAGGATGAACTCAACATCAAGAAACCTTTTTTCTCTCTCAAAAATTAGGAGCAAATCAAACAAAAAAAGTCTAACATGAGACAAATCCCTTTATGATGGACTAGAAATATGCTCTTCCTGGGCAACTGGGCAAAAAAGTAGGAGCATTGGATTTGTTCAGGCATCATTTCCAAGAAAAATTAATAATGCAACACTGGGCCTATTTCTGTAAAACCATTGATCAAATCTGAAACCTGCCCTGGAAGGTGCCTTCAGCCCCCAGCGAAGTGTCAGCAAAGCTTCATCTGGGTGACAGGGCAGCAGGACCAGCAGTAGAGGGTGCCCAGGACCAGCACTGCCAGTGCCACCAGTTCCATGACTTGGGGACACCAGCAGCATTAAGCAAAAGCAGCATCATAGAGTCATAGAATCCCAGCCTGGTTTGTGTAGGGAGGGACCTTAAAGCTCCCCCAGTTCCAACCCCTGCCCCGGGCAGGGACACCTTCCACTAGAGACGGTTGCTTCAAGCACTTGAACACTGCCAGGGATGGGGCAGCCACAGCTTCTCTGGGCACCCTGTGCCAGCGCCTCAGCACCCTCACAGGGAAGAGCTTCTGCCTCAGAGCTCATCTCAGTCTCCCCTCTGGCAGGTTCAAGCCATTCCCCTTCTCCTGTCCCTACATCCCTTGTCCCAAGCCCCTCTCCAGGCTTCCTGGAGCCCCTTTAGGCACTGGAGCTGCTCTAAGGTGTCCCCTTCAGAAGCCTTCTCCCCAGAGCAGCGGCGGGCAGCAGGGTGCAGGGCTGCGGGCGCTGCGGTTACCGGTGGATGATGTGCTGGCTGCGCAGGTAGTCGAGGGCCAGCGCCATCTCACAGATGTACAGCTTGACCGTTTCCTCCGTGAACTGGACGTTCTGCTGCAGGTGATAGCGCAGGTCACCGCCGAGGAGCAAGTCCACCACCATGAACATGTCCTCCTCGTCCTGGAAGGAGTACCTGCGGGAGCGGCGGGCTGTGAGCCAGCAGGCTGAGCCTCAGCACTAAACCGCGTCAGGCTTTTCCCTCCTCATTACACAGTTCCTGTGAACACTGCAAACAGTCCCACCACGAGCATATGCTGTTTACAGCTTCCTAATGGAGCAAGCCCAACTCCAGATGCCATCTTGGTTTTTAACCTATTGCAACCCTAAGCAGCACTGCTTCCAAGAGGTGGGAATCCCAATGAACGTCCCCCTGCTCGCCCATCACCTCCCAATTGCTGCTGTGTGACCCCAGCAGCAGGCAGAGCTGCAGCAGAGCTCAGGGCTTTGCTAGCCAGTCACTTTAGAGAAACTACCCATTTTCTATTGTGAACAATGCAATAAAGCTACTTAAAATATCCCTGCCTCTCCTGAGAATGGATTGGGAAACACAACTGCTAATTTAACCAGAAAAAACAGAAAAGGAGATTTATATTTACTGTAGAGTAAAACACCTCCCTAGATGTGCAGCGATCCATCCCACAGGAGACTGACAGCAGTGGGGATACACCACAAAACAAGGCCCAATTGTTATATTTGGTGACAGCGTTTCTAAGGAGAGAGTATGTGGGATTGTATAATACTTATGAATCACACGCTTCTGCTCTCATCTTAAATGTAGGTTTATTCTAAACGTATGAGCTGAAAGGGAAGGATCTGCTACAGGAGCAAGTTTTCCCATGGAGTTTCATTACTTGTTGGAAAAAAGCTATCTTCAATTGCTAAAATGTTGAGAAAACAAATATTAACTTGCTTGGCTTTTCTGGAGTAATGGCTCAACAAAAAGAAAGTCAAGTATGTACCATTCTGAGTATAAAACCTTCTGAATTTTAGAATACCGATTTGATTGTGTGTGCACTGGCAAAACCCATCCCCACTACCGAGTAATGTGTTAGGGTCTAACTGTAGAAAACCTCCTTGAATCAGGCTGAAATCTAACAAACAGCTTTAGCTGGCAATGCTCTTGAAACTCACCCCGTCCAGACAGTCACAGTGCAAATGACATGCAGAAGATCTCATTGGATTCCCTACAACCATGACAATGCCCCCAGAACTGATACGCACCAGTGCACCAGCATCCCTTGGTGCACACCTGTGGAGCTGCCCTTGCAGTGCTGGTGCAGACTCAAACACACACGGCCAGGACGGCTTTAACCCACCCAAGCTCAGACCTACCGCAGAACCTCCAGCGAGCACACTGGCTATGGCTGGGAGCAGTGATTCATGACTATTACACAATCCCACATACTCTCTCCTTAGAAATGCTGTCACCAAATATAACAACTGAGCCTTGTTTTGTGGTGCCTCCCCACTGCTGTCAGTCTCCTGTGGGATGGATCTGTTTATTTAAACTACCAGTCAATCTCTGCAAGTCTGAGTCCTTTGGAGGGACCACATGCTGTGTGAAACACTAGATATTTTGTGTAATTTTGTGTCAATTAAAGTTATAAATCATCACCTCTAAGACTGCTGGTTTCTTTGGCTTTTCATGCTGTTATTTGCTACAGGAACTGGCCCCACGCAGTATTGGATCCACCACAGACTGTCACAGTTCTCAGCATCTCCATGCACATGAGATGGACCACCTCTTTAACCAGGAGCATTGTACTGCCCGAGGCACCTTAGTGGGACTTGGCACACCAGACAATATGGTACAAAATGATTTAGGGTTAAGTGGGCAGAAGGGTCCCTTCGAAGAGACCTGACAGTGACATTTGAAAGAGGCTGTGAAGAACACCCAACACACACACGGGTCTGATGGAAAAGGAGAAGCTGAGCTGTTCTGAGATGCCTGGGAATATTCCATGCTGTCTCCTGAACACATGCCCTGTTACCACAGACTTGCATTGCAGCAGCTCATTGGGATGCTCCCATGGATGCCTGTGACCACAGGAAGACAGGAGAACGTGGCTCTGTGAGGGCAGAGGGAAGGAGCTGCTCACCAGAGGTTCACCAGGAAGACGTGCTCGATCTCCTGCAGGATTTCCAGCTCCCTGAATACGTTGCGAACCTCGTCCCTCTCGATGCACTGTTGTTTGTTCATGTACTTCATGGCGTACATCTTCTCAGTGTCTCTCTTCTGCACAATACACACCTCAAGTGGCGCAGAAGGGAAGGAAAAAAGAGATTTAGTGAGATGTTCTGTATCCTCATTTGCTGCTTTATCGGGCTGAGACCCATGCCACTGAGCACTTCTATCCCCTATCCAATATTCCTGATGCCTGGGCTGGGAATTGAGATCTACAGATAGAAGCATCCCTGCTCTAAGTGCAGTGCTCATGCACTCCTAATTTGGGCTCCATTACACCCAGGCTGTCTGTAACGACACAGTTACACAGGAGCTTCCTCTAGGATGTGACAGCCAGCTCTAGGAGAGCTTTCTAGCAGGGAACAGTGTCTGGGAGCTGTGGGAGAGAGCTCTGTGCTTGCTGCCTCTGAACAGAGACCAGCTTCGGGCAGCAGTGGGGCTCCTCTCCCAGCCTCAACTCCATTCTGCTCACATCGCTGGCTGCCAGCCCCCAGCAGGCTGCTTTAATCCCCTGCACACAGCACAGTGCTTGGAAAGGTCAAAATAATCCCTTTTGTTTTAGCAGAAAATCATTAAAATGCAAATTTGTTAACAGCAACAACCACAACCACCGTGCCCCTGGAGGTGTGGTGGCACTTGTCCTTGCAGGACAGAGACCTCCCCACACGGGGTTCCATAAAATCCCAGCCTGGTTTGTGTTGGAAGGGACCTTAAAGCTCCTCCAGCTCCAACCCCTGCCATGGGCAGGGACACCTTCCACTAGAGCAGGTTGCTCCAAGCCCCTGTGTCCAACCTGGCCTTGAACACTGCCAGGGATGGGGCAGCCACAGCTTCTCTGGGCACCCTGTGCCAGCGCCTCAGCACCCTCACAGGGAAGAGCTTCTGCCTCAGAGCTCATCTCAATCTCTCCTCTGGTAGGTTAAAGCCATCCCCCTTGTCCTGTCTCAGGGTTTGCAACCCCCTGAGCTCCCAGCCTCCAGTGGTACCCATCCATTGGGAACAGGGATGCACTCGCAGCCATCCCCACCCCACTGCACAGAGGCAAGCCACCAGCAGCCGCTAGTCCCTGGTCCATTGGGATAACCCAATACAACCCAGCAGAAGCCCACCAGGCTGGCCTGGGGTGCCCTGCAGCTTTGAGTGCCCTCCCCTGGTTCTTCTGATCCTAACGACACTCTAATTCCCAAGGTAACCAGTTTTAAATGAAGTAATGAGTTCCCAAGGTCACTATTTTTGAGGGACTCGGGACATTTCACATCTGGTGTAATGACGTCTGTCCTCTCTCAGTTATCAGCCACGCTCTTGATTACAATGCACTGGATGTGTTCCCTTTGAAAAATAATTAGTTTGGCATTTTGGTCACAGCCTTCACAGAGGGTGACCTGGGGAGGCTGCTGCCAGAGAGCAGGTCACATCCACACAGCGCAGGAGCAAGCACAGGGGGGTCTGTGCAAGCACCGCAGACAGACGGGAGCCACCGAACTCTCCCACACATCCAGACTGCTGCCATTAATAACCCTTTGCAAGTGGTAATGGTGCACGATATCATAGCATCAAGGACACACTGCAGCAAGAAGGTGACACAATAATAGGTGGTTATCATTAGCCTGATGAAAACATCCCAATTAGCAACACACACTGAAATTAGGGGGGTATTTTGCAGTTGTCATTACGATTATGGAAAGAGCAGAAAGTTCTGGGTTGAGGTAACTCCACACACACCTCAGGCCCCATGTTAAAGGGTTACTTCCTGGGCAGCTTGACCTGAGGAACTGTGTCTGGGATGAACTCACCTGAAAAGAGTGCTCACCCTGAGAGCCATGTCCTGCACCTCTGGCTATCGGGTGGGAAAGGGTGTCCCCAGCCCTGTGCCCCTGGCTCACACCGTCCCCTCCTGTGCCCATGGGCACGCAAAGCCCATCAGCAACAGTACCAGGGACTGCTCACAGTACAAAACAGGAGGTAAACCCCAGCTCTGTGCAAACGATAACGAACTGCCTACAGAGCCCCAGCAGGATACAACCCCTGCCCACGGCAGACTCTAACCTGGTTGTACATTTAACAAACCAGGCAAAAATAACTTCATAAATTCTTCAAGCAGAAAAGACTTAACAGCAGCCTTCTGAAACATAAAATCACAGACTCGCAGACTGGTTTGGGTTTAAACTCCTACAGTTCCAACCCCTGCCCCGGGCAGGGACACCTTCCACTAGAGCAGGTTGCTCCAAGCCCCTGTGTCCAACCTGCCCTTGAACACTGCCAGGGATGGGGCAGCCACAGCTTCTCTGGGCACCCTGTGCCAGCGCCTCAGCACCTGAAAACATGGTCATTGCTTTAGAACTTCTCTAAAAACAAATCTCTGAACATCAGCCACCAGGCACTGATAACGTCCTTCCCTGATGTCACCTCACCCCACATGATGGCCAGGAGCTCACGAATCTCTACGTTTTTCATTTCTTTTTTTCCAGACTGTGACTTGCAGTATCTCACCAGCTATTGCAGTTGAGATTTATGTCATTTGCTGCTTGTTTCTCTGCAGGGAGAATAGAAACCTAGTACTATAAATGAGAAAATGATGAAAACTTCTTGTACTCTGTAATCATAACAAATAGCTTTCTGAACCAGAACAGCATCACCTACGTACACAGCAATGCCACTGTCAGGTGCTCTGGAAAAGCACACCAATGTGGGTGTCGATGGAGATGTCCTTCCTCCAGCCAAGACCCACAGAGATCAGGGTGGGAGGGCAGCTGCCCTCCAACATCAGGACTGGTGTTGGTGCTGCCCTGGCCAGGCTCAGCCACTGAGATCCTCTGCCACAGGAACCCTTCCTGAAATGCCCCTGGTGACAGAAACACGCCTCTCCCCCCAAAACATCAGTGCCCCAACACGTATCTTCTCTTTCTTGTGCTTCTCCACTCGCGCATCTGTTCCTGGGCAAGGAATAAACATCCACTTGGTAGCAAGTCAAGAGTGGTTTTAAAATGAATCTGTTTTCAATCAGATCCACAATGCGAAGCAAAGCAAGAGAGGAAAAGAGCCTACTTTGTCCTCACCCTGCATAATGCCGAACCTCGGTGCACAAAGGACATTTGCAGTGGTTAAATACAGCCATTAGAAAAGATTGTCTGTAACGCTGCCAGATTTGCGCAGCAGAAGGCAGGCATCAGCTGGTCCTGTATTGCTCAAGACATGGCACATAAAAGATTTAATAGAGTCCCAGATACCCTGAACATTCAGCTGCTGCCAAATGGTTTGTATACAGCTGCCTTTGCTTTTATTGCATTAAAGGCATAAAGGGCTTGGAGCCTGCATTTGTGATTCAGGACATGAGATGAGCATTTACCATCTCCCAGTTCGATCTCGCTTCATGGGGCCCCAGGGGATGACAACGCCCCTATTGTCACCTCACTGCCAGCTTCTTCTCACCTGAGCCTGCGACACCCTCTGTCTTCACTCAGCAAGAGTGATCTCAAGGAGATAGCCCCAGCTGCCTCATTCATTAGAGAGGACTCACCAGAGGTGATGTTAAAATAGTAACAGACAGGGAAAACTGACTCTTGCCTTTGAAATCCCTTTCTCTAAGGCCAGAGTTCTCATTAGAAACACAGAATATGAACAGGAGCGTTCAAAGCTGCCTCAACGCTTCGTGCAGAGCTGGGTTTTGGGTGTTTTCTGGTGTCCAGGGCACTCAGACCTGATGTGCTTTTTGGAAGTAGTTTTTGTTCTTGTTAATTTAAGACGCTTTCCCCAGCCGCCTACATTTTTGCTGCTCTGTACATTTCTTGGGTCCAACTTGCTCTCTCTTAGGCTGGCTTTGCCTTTTCTCCTTTAGAAAAGACTGATTCTGAAGGAATCCAGCGGGCTGAAATCCTCACTCAGATGAAAGGTCATCTAATCATTTAATAGCATGTCCTGACTTATCTCAAACTAATTATAAAGGGGCAGCACTCTTTGCCCAGGCTCAGCCAAAAGTGAGAGGTTTGCATTCTGGGCAGGATCTGCAGAGCTGATAAATACTTGAGATTGTTTGATCTGGGCTGCACCAAGATTATTTTTCCCTTCTGCAAATGCAGATGTCATCTTAAACCAAGGCACCCGTGGTCCTGCCCCCTGCAGGACATCACCGTCACTCCTGATGCAAATACCACAGCTGGGTTCAAGAGATCATCCTTTTGCTCTGCACCGTGAGCAGGAATCTCTCGGTGGCTTCTGCCGTTCACAGACAGGACACATGCGCTGTAATCCTTACAGACACAGACGCTTCCCTGGCTCCAGCTGGAGCCATCACCAGGTTTCACCGTACAAAGCTGGATTCGCTTCCTGGTTTCTAGAGTTGAGCCAAGGCTTAACATTAGCAAGCACTACACACCAACATCAAACACCTTAACCCTACCCGAGAGTGAGGCACAGCTGAACGCCGCTCTGGCTTATAAAAGTGCTCATTTGGGGTGGTTGCACCTTGCCCACAAGTGTGATTTCTCCTCCAGCTTCTGCTGATTTCCCGTGGGTGTTTCTGTCTGGCCTCCCAATTCCCCTAAGCTCACCCGCTAAACCAAGAAATAAACTCTTCACTTCTCTGGGAGTTCCATTCTTTACAAAGGGGCTGTGTCTGCTCAGCTGGAGGGAAATGCCTGTCCCACAGCCTGTAAAGAAGATGTGGAGAGGACTTTAGTTGGCAATGAGCACTGAAAGGGCAGAGCGATGCCCATGCGGAAGGGCAGCGGGACAGTGGTCACCACTGGGACCCCAGTGCCTCGCTGCGTGACAGCGGTTGCTGCGCCAGGAGCTGCAGACAGAATCTTACCCATTATAACAAACCAATCAAAATCAGTTCTCAGCCGCTCTCAGGAACATAACAAACAGTTAATTTTTACAGCTATTCTGGAGAGAAACCAAAGGCACCTGACAGGGCCGTGGTGCCACAGCTGCACAGGACGCAGTGTCAGTCACCCCGTCATTTAAAAGCAATCCTCATCCCCATTCTGTATTATGATGGATGGCACTGATGGTAATTGAAATACAATCTCTGCCTGGTAATTAACATCTGTACAATTAACACTTGT